CCCACCCACCATGTGTATTTCCGTTAATTTACTATCAACCAGTCGGTGTGAACTAGGCTGGCTTTGCTGCGTATGTCTCGCTTGTGTATGTATTACTCTCCAGTTAACTTGTACCAGAACTATTTCTATCTCTTCTTGTTGGTAAAAAGAAACTCTGAGTGCATAGATCTTCTCAGAGACTCAGGCTCTAGGACATACTACTGTCATCCCGAAACATACCCTAAACACTTGTCATGTTGCAATATTTCTGAGATAGTTATGATTGAGATAGTGCAGGAAGAAGCAGGGATTCAAGTTCCTTCTTTACTCTGTCTTCTGCTAGGTCTAGAATCTAGAGTCCCTGTCTGCTCCCTACTGTTGGTCTTGCCAAAGCCCCTAGAAGAAAACACCTGAAAAAGTTAAATGGTTGCTCTTGAGATGGCTTTAGTTTATTAATTTTGTCCTGTTTTCTTCTTACTATATTTGGGGAAGTGCAGTAACTCAGCTGGTCACTTGTCTTCTCTCCAAGGCTACCTTGGCAGCTGGCAGCATGATGCAGGCCCATGGAGATTTTGATGTTGCCCTCTCCAAATACAGAGTGGTAGCCAGCAGTGTACCTGAAAGCCCCCCGCTGTGGAACAACATTGGGATGTGCTTCTATGGGAAGAAGAAATATGTAGCAGTAAGTATCTGGTTTCCTTTCTGTAGCCAACTTCATGCAAGAACAAGATTCCTCTTGTGACAGAGAGGTCTGTTCTGGGTTAGCTGTGTTACAGCACATTTCTTCTTTTTTTGAAGGCTATCAGTTGCCTGAAACGGGCAAACTACTTGGCTCCCTTTGACTGGAAGATTTTGTACAATTTGGGGTTAGTCCACCTCACGATGCAGCAGTATGCGTCTGCTTTCCACTTCCTCAGCGCTGCCATCAACTTCCAACCCAAGATGGGAGAGCTGTATATGCTCCTTGCAGGTACGCAACCCTTGCATATCCAGTTTAGGGAATGGAACTTTATAGAAACAGAAAGTTTGGGCTGAAGTAAACAAATATTGGGCAAAAGGTGTACCAAGAAGCTGTTCCCCAGTAGGTCATTGACAGGACTAAAGTTTTGAACAGTCTGTTCTCTCTGCGGTGAATGGGAAGGTTAAGTTGCAGTCAGATCCAGATTGAACATTAGAAAAGACTTTCTACATGTGAGCGTTTGGGTTGTCTCAGGAGTGGGTGTGGCTTTCCAGCACTAGACATTTTTGGGATCAAGCAAGACTAATATTTATCAGAATTGACATTAGTAGGGTTAATCCTGGCAGCAGTCCAGACCACCCTGCTAGCACCTACTTATTTTAAGCTGTAACGACATTCAGAATTGTCCTAAAAATGAAGTCCCTGTGAAGCATCAACTTACGTGTGTACGTTTTGCTTTGGTACAGTTGCTCTGACAAACCTTGAAGACGTTGAGAATGCGAAACGTTCCTATGAGCAAGCTGTGGCACTGGACAAGTAAGTCTTCATCATAGCTGTCAGCTGTTTGATCGCGTTGCTTTGCTTCCCTCACCTGGTTTCCTTTGCACGCTTTGTCCCTCTTTCTACTTTGACCTGAAATGGTTTACAATAAGGAAATGTTTTTATTCCTGCAGCTGTGCAAGTCACTGTTCTAAAACCACCCCCTTTTTTTTTTAATTCGGGTCAGCTCTGACAAATGAAAGGGAAATTTTGTTTCAGTCCAACCCAAAGCTGGTTTTTATTTTACTGTTTAGTTAGTGAGTCAGTGGTGATCACTGGTTTGGTTTCCAGGCTACCTTCCAGTGAATATTTATGCACAGCAGAACAGATTTGATAGAAGAAAACCAGTCATCCCAGAATAATTTGCAACCCAAAGTTTGAGCACTGTGCAGAGCAATGAGAGTTTTGGGATAAAGCCTGTTCTTCACTGGGCAGAGGGAAGATTTTAGCTGGGAGAATGTGGGCAAAAAGCTAGTAAAAGCCCATAAAAGAGCAGCAGTATAGCCTTTTCTCCTCCATTTTGTTAATAATGTCTGTGTTTGCAACCTGGCTCTTAAGATCTGAGTGCTTGGTTTCGGAAATGTTGAAATGAACCTTGTAGTGTTTCATTGTTTCAGTCAGGAAACCAAATTTATCTCAAATTGATGAATAGTTTTGGCTCCTTGACTCTCTGATTTTCTTTACCTGTTTTATTTTTTTCAGATTTTAACTAGTAGGTGATTAGATGGTGATTTTTTCCCCCCAATTTACTGTGAATATTTGTATACTTCCAGCAGCCAGCGCAGTGCTCCTGAGCTCAGGAGTCTGTATGCTGGCCGCAGAGCTGTGGCAAAATCACTTTCCTTCCATTCCAAACAATCCATGCCACAAGGTGCCGCAAGGTGGCATGAGAAAATGCTGATCCCTTTTTCTCTGTCCTCTCTAACCTGGGTGCACTGGCCAGGCTTAATTTTGGGAATTCTGGAAGTTCCTAAACCCATTCTAAAGGGCAGCAGGTTTCCAAAAATAGCGTTTGACGCTGCAGTGCATTTCTCTTTGTGAAGAGGTGCTGTAAATGCTCTTGGGTGTTTACTGGGAATTAAATGGCTTGCATTTGTGCCAGAGCTCTTGAACCTGTTAGCCCTGCACGGCCAGCAGACATCTGGCACTGAAGTTCTTCGTACTTACACATCAACAGAATTACAAAGCAGGTTTAAATATTCTACATCAGTTTCAAACATCAGTAGATCTGTGCAATCTCCTGAGAGGAACCAAACCTGTGCAAACTACAGTCAAAAACTAATAAATGTATTGCTGTGTGAGAGCATTTTGCAGTTACACATTGGTCGTTCCTACCAACATCAAAAAGCCCAGTCGACTCCTTTCCTAATCAACCTAGCAGGGCAGTACAGGACCTTAAAGATTGCTCGGACTGCTCAGTGATGAATTTACATGCTTTGATCAAAGAGAAGGACTAGAAATTGAGCTCTACAACTTTACCTCAATATTTGGCACTGCTATGATGCTACAACAATATTATAGTCTTAGTGGGAAAAATAAAACCTCATCAAAGCAAAAATGAATGCCAACTGCCAGGGACTGCTGGGAGAAATAGCCAGGCTTTGTTAGGCTTGTTCAGCTGACGTGCCGTATATTTTAGACAGTTATTGTGTGGCTGAATCCATGTCCCCACAGGCTTGCTTTGCTGGCATATTATAGACTGTTTGGCTGGGATGAAGGTAGCTGTGTTTGTTTCCAGTGCCAGGAATACTTTTGTGACATTTGGCCTGGGTGTCCTGCTGGGGTTTGGAACAGAAAGCATCTTGGAAAAATCTTAAAAAAAGGTGTTTCTTCGTAGTGCTGGTTGTAGCTCATAGCTGTCCTTTCTTTCAGTGGTTATTTAGCTATTGATTTTTTTCTGTCACATTGCTTCTCAGCTCTTGAAGGTGAATTAGCCTGATAAAGTGCAATTAATTTTAAAACTGGCTGTTCCCAGATCTGTCTGATCTCTAGTTTTGTTGTGTGGGTTTGGTTTTGTGAATTTTCTTTTGGGGCCTTTTTTTTTGTGTAAAGAGTTGGGGTTTTAGTGTTTGTTTCACACATTACCTCTTTGCTTTGGCAAAAGACAGTGAGGAGAGGTGTTTTTTGTGGCAGGATCAGTGTTCCAGTTTCTCAGTTAAAGGAAAACCAACGGTTATAAATGCTATTGAATTTCTCCTAATAGTATTTTTTCTTGCAGAAGTCATATAACTCGCCAAGGATGGATAGCCATGGCCTGCAGATGACACTTTCTATTTATTGAACAGCGTTAGCAGAAGCCTTCCCTTCTGCACTTTTCACAAAGGATGTTTTCTCTGTCTTGGCCCCCCAGGCGTGGGTGCTGGAGTCCTTGGATGGCTCCAGTTATCCCTGCCAGACTCCAGGAGAGGGCACCAATCCCTCACTCACATTTATTGAGCAAACAACAAAGCATCCCTCGCTGACCTGTGTTCTCTGCAGCGAGCTGCCATCAGACAGTGCTCTTCTGTGCACCCCTCAACAGCACGTCCCCTGTTCTGGCCAAATCCAGCCTCCGCTCT